GACAGTCTCTACGACCCAAGTGATGCATTGTATGTTCAGAAAAAGGAGAACCACAAGGGTCATCGTTATTGTTTCATTGCTGACATAATGGAGTCTCCTGGTCTGGACTGTCGTGTGGTTGCCCTGGACATTTTTCGTGGGGGGAAGTCAACGGCTAAGCAGCCCAAAGACTATCATGCAATGTTCAATCACGACTATTTTGTCAACTGGTTTGCCAAATTTGCTTGCTGAGCTTGATGGTTTGGGTTTAGTCAATGCATACATCGTAATGGACTATGCCAAGTAGCACAAGGGGCGCCCCTACGGCACCCCAACGAGCCGCCTGTGCAAAAAGAGTTTGCAAGCAACCTGCACTCGGTATGGATTGTCATTTGAGCCCTCGGATTTCAAAAGCATACTGTGGGAGAAACTCTCTGTTCCTTTGTAAGTTCGAAAATGAAGCGCCTGTCAGTCAATTTGTGTATTTGACATGGCATCGGTCTACTTTAAGCCCGCTTTGTTGAAGTACGTCTTACCGCAAAATCACTTCGCCAATCGGTGACCTTGTACAACGGGCAAAGCAGTTTTTTGCGCACATTGAAGTCTTCAGTAAATTGATTAATGTCAGAAAATCAGAATACCGATGCTTCAGAGATTGTTTCCTGTGAAAGGAAACAATTTACTCCTCCAGGAGTAAAGTCTACAGGATGTACTGTACAATACAGCTAGTGTCCTTGAACTTGCAAACATAATGGAATCTGACTGAATTGATCCGGTTGAGGATAGTATAAATATTTATATGCGACCTGCGTTTCATATTTTCTTAATGTCAATTTACACATTCACAATGGAACAAGTACGGGATACGGGGAATAGGCCAATCAAACGGCAACGTCATGGCTTTAATCGCAACAAAATTGGTCAACCGCGCATCATGCCAAGGGGTCCCAAGCTCACTGGTTTCGAAATGGGCCAACATTTGTCCAGGGAGCACGAGAAGATACTGTATCCAATCGTTAGATTGGACGTCGATTCAAACGGGATGAGTCATTTGTGCGTTCATACCTGTGGTACCCGGACACGTACGGTAAGAATAAGCTACCAGGAAGCGCGTCAATCTTGACACAATGTGCAACGTTTGTGAATCGAGGAAATCTCAGTTTGTTGCTGACATTGTCCATTCCGCACTGGACGTCAAGTATGTTTAAAATGTTTTACGCGACAAATCATGTCAAACCTGAAAAGCAAGTTGGGCTTGCCGATCGTTTGTTCGATTACTAAGCGTGGAGGCTCCAAGCCAGCGACACGGAAGAGGCGTACAATGGAGCATTGAATCACATTTTTGCCAGGTTTGGTAATAGTATGGAAAGGTACTTAAAGCAAATTGAGGGTTATGTTCGCCAACATGAGCAGTTCAACCGACCCGATGTGACGTCGACTGTTTAATGGCCTTCCGACAAAATTGCTAAGAGTGAAAACAACAACAAGGCACTCCAAAACAAGTTACGCTAGTCCTTGGCTGCCCAGGCTGTGTTGATCTGGATTGACGTGTGTGAAAAGAATGTGTCGTATCGACACAAGGTGGCTCAATGTGGATGTCCGAAGGTCGGGTGGTGACGCAGTACGCTACGTGAATCATTGACGCTGAAATGTAAAGAGAGCTAAGCTGTAAAGTTGTCGAGTCCACCGCGGAATTGTACTTTCTTTCCACTCTGGGCGCGAGGCCAAGAGACGACGGGTATTGCTGAGCGCAGTGTTCATGCTCTGACAGTGATCAAACTGATATACCCTGTTGCCACTGCATTCGGGTGCTATCACACACGGCGAGTTGCGACTTCAATTCGAATCGTGTGACGAGGCACATACAATTCAGTGTTTCTGCAACGGGTACCTTGGAGAGTCAGTGCTGCTCTAGGACGAAGACATTGTGCCAAATGATACAGTTAAACCGCCACCGTTAAGCTGGTAGACCGAAAAAAACTCCGTATCCCCAGTCGTGGCGAAGAGCCGTCAGCTAAAACGTACTGTACATGTGTCGTAGTTGCTCTGGCACAAATCTCAGTCGCGTAACATGCAATCGACGCAGCAGCAGTGAGTGGCTGACTCACAGCTTCCACTTAGGGCAGGCGTCTCATTTGAAGGTTTTCAACGCGTTTAATCGTACACTCCCATCAGCCTCTTGGACTTGGAAGCAATAGCCAGCGACGACAATGTGAGCGAAGACGAATCTGCAGGATTTCACACATCATAAATCAGCACAAATACAACGCATTCGCTAGAACCCTTATATACACAGATAATGCTGGGAATCGGAACCATGCCTCCTGCAGAACAGGCACCGCCTACACTATCGTCATTTCGTCCACAGACCATGCAGGTCTCTGCAGCTAAGTTGGCGTTGTTCGTTTGTGTAAAATCACTTACCTCAGCGTCTCGACGATTTCATCGCCACGGCCAGCGCCGCATGTATCGGCTTGGTCGCGATGGGCGGCATGTGCGGAATCGCGTAGTTCTTCTTGAATCCTTAAATATATGAGCCAGGATTTTTGAAGGGCTATTCCACGTACCTTGGATACGTACCAATCAATCGCGGCGCTCGTCGTTCGGAAGTCGGTGTGGTTGGGGAGGGTGTGGTGAGCTTCAGGAGGACGCCAAATACCTAGCGTGAAGTACCGGGTGTACAATAGTACAGATCGAAAGTCGCTGGGTCAAACCGCTCGGTGGCTGTCGTGCTTGGTATGGCGTCGTGGACGGCGCCTGCTGTCTGTATATGAATATTACCGTCTAGTATATTTCGTTTTAGGTGGGTGATATTTCACATCCAAGCAACGTCAAGGGTCAAGTGAAGATAATTCCTTTTAGGTATACAAAAATCAAAGTATCGACGGGGCAGTGACGACTCCAAATGATATAAAGGTTCGGGCATGTATAAATAAAAACAGTTACTTCTATTCACACAGTTTATATTTTCAATGAATAACATACAATTTTCAAAACCAAAATCTGAAATATATTTAAACATCACTGCAATCCACGTCATCTGTGGGATCACGTTCTCGTCCAGGCCAGCGTCGATGGCAGTTTCCAAGGCCATGATTCGAATCATCAGTGGTGTCACTGGCACTCCGTCTTTGCGCATATTCTTGACCCACAGAGATATTTTCTCTTCGAATTCCCTTGGTAGTGTTGTGGCCGTACCAAGCTCGCGGGAACACAATTGGTTGGACGTACTTGGATTAGTTGCTTTACTCCTAATATGGTCACGCTGTTTGATCCATCCATATACTTTCTTACGGGTACTGTCGAGCTTTGAGCCATGAACGAGAGGAAAGTGTCTTGCCAGAGTCGTAGCCATGCCGCACTCGTCAAAGCTGTCTATGACGGCTTGCTTCATCTTGTAGGACAAATGAACGTTGCGGTACTTCTTGGGGAGCTTCTTCAGACCATGTTTGAAAGCTGGTCGACCCCGAGGCTTGTTAAATGGCGTTCCGTCCATTCTGCAAGACGTACAATGGCGTTTGTGGCTCAACGGAGATCACATCAAAAGCGCGCGCATTTTACCTCTCAACATTAATGTTACCTCTATAAATAATACTCACATTGGAATAGAGAGGATAAATTAGGTATAGGAGTTCATTTGGCCACCAAAGGATAACCTGTTGAACTTGTTATTGTATCTTGACTGGAAATATTGAAGTACACAGTAGAGTGATTTTGCAAACGTGAATTTCCTTTTAGACTTTTCTAGAAAGTTGCCA